TCTCTGAAAATCAGTTCTGATTCTTTCTGCATGATCTCCAAGTGGTTTTCAGGCAGGGTTATAAACTGCTAGTTGAAGACAGGTGTGGGGTGAAGATTCTGGTGCTCACCAAAGCTATTAGTTTGAGGGCAAAATAAATGTTATAACTGTCGAGCCTTATCCTTCATTGCTTCCCTTGTCATAGGAGCCATGTGCTGCCATGTGCCTTTAGGAATCTGGTTTTTAAACTCAGTTCTCCTTAACCTAGGAGGCTAGAAACATGCATCAAAATGCTAATCTTTATCTGTCTTTGTATTTATCTATTTATTTATCGAAATAGAAGATATAATTTCTGTAGATACTTTGCTCACACTGCCGGCAGTGATCCTAGAGGAGGGCAACTAACTGTACTTCTCTCTGCAAACATGGACAGCAGTAGTTCCAACAGTAGTATTTTTGTCAGCAGATGGATTGTGAGTAGGCAGTATGGTGTTTGCACTGCATGGCTGTGTTAGGAAAATAATTTGTTGACTATATGAAACAGTTATTTCAGTGAGAAGCAGTAATTTAACGCAGTAAGTTTTTCCAGATAGTCATCTCCATTTGAGTCACTCTTGAGTGAAGGCTTATGGAAGCTTTGATCTGTCATTGCAAATCCTTTGTCTCTGAGATATAATGAGCTTCAGGTTACTGAGGAAGTCATCATCACTAAAACAAGTGCATTTGAGACTTTAATGTAGAATTGGAGAATTCTTTGAGGAGTCCCTGTTGGTTTGGTTTCGGTATTATTCAGTGAAAAACCACAAAGTGTAACACCACATACAGTTAAATGTAGTATAATGTGACATAGTTAAGCAAATGAACCAGATTTACATTTTCATCAGCTTATGCGCATGATTTGCAAATGCGTTAAAGTAGCTTTGACTGTAGTTGCTGTCTTGAGTCATGTTAATAAAACTTTTTTGGAAGTTGGCTAATGCTGGTGGTTAGATTACAAGTGAAGGGAACTATAAATTTGAACCCACAACTCTATACTGTAAGTTATAAATTAGGTTTTGATTACTGTAATTCTATATACTTTTATTTTGTGTCTAGCCCTAGTATTATCTACAGTGTTTTCCCAGTTTGAGACTATGGAGACATACAGGTCTGCTAAACCTGCAGTTCACACTCTAGGATTTGGTCCTAACTTGAGATCGTAGGAAGGGCAATTCTATTGGAATAATTAGGGTAATTCTTTTTCCCAGTCTTTATCTGGTCAAAATGCGTGAAACACTGCTTGGTTGTTTTTCTTGTTCAAAAATAGAGGTTCCTACATCAAAAACTGCAGTAACATTTTTTTCTTTTCAAAATGGGGGAATTATTTTCATTAGTTATCTGTCCCTGCAGATTGCTGGCATGTGATGTGTTGAAAAATTTTTACATACGCTGCCAGCAGCAGTCTGTAAGTTTGCTGCCTTATAGGTTGACATAAATATGACAAAAAGAAATGACTTTGTCTGTGGGGATGTAGAGATGTGTGATGTGTTAGTACAATTGCAAGGCTGCTTTCCTTGTGGCTGATCCTGGATCACATCAGTGGGCTGCAGCTGTTCTTAACCCATATTAAGTTTTCTCTTTCTTAATTTTTTTTTTGTAGCAGACTTGATGTTATGGGAACTCTTCAATAAAGTCATTCTCTTGGGGGAAAATAACATTATACATCATGCTAAAAAATGGCTATTGTCTTTTTGATGCCAATTTAGGAATTACTTAAAAATCGTGAAGTAGTAACATCTGGTTTTATTACTTGGTGCATAGGAGATGCATAGACTCACTCTGTTTTTTGTGTCTCATCTGCTTGATTCACATTCTAAGTCCCATGCTTCGTACCTCATATAGGGTATAAATGTTATATTTAAAGGTGTTGACAGGTTCTTTTCAATAAAAAATCAACTAAGTTTGTGCTGGAGCATATGCTTATTTAGTTTTATTTTTTGCAGCAAAATTTCATAATGATTACATTCTCTTAGTTAAAAAAAAAAAAGACAGCCATGTTGTTATCTGTGGGTAAAATGCACCTTGCAGTTTTTGCATGTTCCTCATACATTACTTGATCCTGAATGAATATTAGATAACTCTCAATTCTGTTGTGGACAACAGCTTTTGGAAGTAATGACACAAAGAACAGACAGACCCTCCTGTAAGCAGCTGTTGAGGACACGGTGTTGTGTGAGCCTCTTGAAGATAATATCCTAACCAGGACACTTTATCAATAACTCGAGAGCTTGATAGTCTCAATGAAAACACTTTTTTCTTGTGCTCTCAAGAACCACGTGCCTTTGCTGTGTAATCATAGTATTTCAGCTCTTTCATTTTTCTTTAAATTTATAACTTGTTTTCTACTCAATCTGTTTGCTATAGAAATAATTTCTTGTCTTTCTGTAGTGCCAGTTATATGTAGATTCAATGCCAAAGCACCTCACTTAAAATAATTCAGTTTAACTGAATTGTATAAATCGGGAGATACTGCCCGTTGGAAGGAGTATGTAGCTGAAGACTAAGGTGTAATTTTTATGATCGAAGATACCAAGATTTTGGGACGTGTACATAATTGTTCTGCAGTGTGGTGCTTGGACTGATTCTTTGACATCTAATGCATATGTAATGCTCCATGGGGTGGTTTGTTGTTTTTTTAATCTTGGAAATGAAGGATGAGGGGTCTTTTTGCTTCTGTGTTAGCAGTCTTTGAAGAACAGTGTTTGTAAACTCACTTTGCCTTTAAGGAGAAGGATGTAACTGTGTGACAAGTAACCAGAAAAAGATTCTTGGAGTAGGTTGCCATGTTAATTAGGGCTTAAGAGTGGTGGCAAGAACAAGAAGCCAGTCTGTGGGTAGCTCCAAGACACAGCACTAGACCTGCCGATGTGAGTTCATGCGATGTTGTGCCCAAACCATCAGTGCTCTAAACTCGGCATATTGGGAAGCACAGCGATGAGACGCTCAGCAGGCTGCACTGGAGCCAGTTTGGGTTGGGTTTATTTATTAATTCTTTCCTTGTGCCAGATCTAGACTAGCTTCAGCCAGAGTCGCTCAGTTTTCTCTGTTCTGGGCTTGTTAGTGCTTCCAGTAAAGTGAATGTTATCCGCAGAGACTGAGCTGCCTTTGTTTGAAGCCAGCTTAGGTCTGATGTCTTACCAGCTCCAGCGCTCCGCCATGTGAAAGCAACTAGATTGTTTCCAGCCATAAATTGTCTCTGGAAGCTGTGTAGGAATATTTATGTACTTCTGCACCTAAGCTAATAAGTCCATCTGGATTATAGCTGATTTTTGTATGGACCCAGCACAGGGCTTGCATCTTGTCATGGTTAATGAGAAATTTGCTAGGGGAAAAAAAAAATCAAATGGGGAATTGACTATATTTGATTTTTGTCTATATATTCTGGTATCTAGTGCAGTGTTAGGCCTTGATATACTCTGAAGTTACAAGTCTAATCAAACCATATCACCTAAATTGAGATAATTAGCATCATTGTCATATTCATAGAATCATAGAGTGGTTTGGGTTGGAAGGGACCTTAAAGATCATCAAGTTCTAACCCCCCTACCACGAGCAGGGACACCTTTCACTAGACTAGGTTGTTCAAAGCATCGTCCAACCTGGCCTTGAACACTTCCAGGGATGGGACATCCACAACTTCTCTAGGCAACCTGTTTCCGTGCCTCACCACCCTCAGAGTGAAGTAGTTCTTCCTTATATCTAATCAAAATCTCCCCTCTTTCAGTTTAAAGCTGTTGCCCCTTGTCCTATCACTACACACCCTTGGAAAAAGTCCCTCTCCAGCCTTTTTGTCAGCCCCCTTTAGGTACTGGAAGGCTGCTAGAAGGTCTTTTTCTCTTTTCCAGGCTGAACAACCTCAACTTTCTCAGCCTGTCTTCATAGGAGAGATGCTCCAGCCCTCAGATCATCTTTGTGGCCCTCCTCTGGACTCACTCCAACAGATCCATATCCTTCTTATGTTGGGGGCCCCAGAGCTGTTAAATTAATTAGTTGTGGTTTTCCTAACTGGTTAACAAATTTCAGTTTAACTGGTGCTTATTTAGACCTCTTCTAGCTGCTTCATCTGCTTTCTCACAATGGAGGAAAAATATCAGCAACTGGGAGGCATCGTAGTATAATGACTTTTGTATATATGCAGAAGGTATCACTAGTGTCTTTTCCTGTCGGAGAAAACTTGGATCCAGTAAACACGCGCTGTACCATTTGACCACAGCTGTATGTCCCAAAGCACATTGCAGGAATGGAAAAGAAATGGGAGAAAAGCAGCAGGTGTGAAAGTGTTCCTGCAAAGTACGATTAGCACTAATGACCTATTGGTCTTTGTCATCAGCATGTTTCAGGGAATAGTTACAGAATGCACTGGGGCAATAAGTGGTTGTTTGCTGGAACCTTTTTGTTTTCTTAAAGACTAGCCTTTAAAAAGTACAGAGGTTTTTATTAGGACTCCTACCAGCAACCACTCTGTCAAAAAAGCAAAGGTAAATTCACATATTCCTTTGTTGACAAAGGGCTGAATCAGGTGGACTAAATAGAAGATTGTCATGCAAAGGAGTTACTGTGGCAAAGATGTTCTTGGTTTGAAGAGAATTGCATCCAAAGATCGTTCCTGCGTGAACGATTAGTAAGTGGATTCTTTGAGAGAGAATTGCAGAATCTGGATAAAGTAATGAGAAGTCAGAGAAGAGAGTCTTGCTGTTTCTTCTCGCTATTTCTGTTTCTTCTTTCTGTACTTAACCTTTTTTGGTTTATGACTTTGTATGGTAAAAACTTCAGGAAAGTTATGAGTAAAACTGCTGACATACTGAATTGTCATGTGACTCAGTGTCACTCTGTAAAAAATAATAAAAATACGGCAGACACCTGTCATATACATCTGTGTTTTGTTTTGTTTTTTAAATTTGGCTATGACAATGTAAAATAATGACTGTTTGTTCATAGAGATATCTATGTTTTGACTGTTCCCAATCTTAACATTTCCTCAGGTTGTGGAGAGCACCTTGTCCGAACCATACTGGCCAGAGAATGTTCATGTGCTTTGCAAACAGAAGATGCCCACCAAGCTCTCCTAGAGACTATGCAAAACAAGTTTATTGGTAAGTATATGGTGCTAATTTACTAAACATTGCATAACATCATTTAAAATGCAATTAACCCTATTAAATAGAATTAGGATACTTATTTTTGTGATTTCTGTTAAAGCTTTATGTTGCAGTTGGCTTCAAATTTAATGTTGTGTTATATCTAAAAAATGGTAAACTACAGAAGAATATTTTAAGATATCTAAGGAAAACCCTTGGAAATACCTCAGTTGTTTTGTGAGTCATAGAATACCAGGAGAGTTTGAAGAAAGAATTTCCTGCCTGAATCACTGGCTGTGGTGTACAATTGCATATTTTAGAATTGGTTGTTTAGGTGTGTTAATAAAAATTGTTCATCGTGTTAACCCTTTTAAAAATAATAGGCCTCAAAACCACTGCATGTTCCAGTTAAGTGCTTTGGACAAACAGATTCAGGTTTGCTATTTACATGATGAAATTCATTTCTTGAAAAAGTAAAGTAGACTTCATTCAAGACTATTTTAAGGTAAACCCAATTTTTTTCCTTGCTTTGAGAGGATTATACAGGACTACTTATACATGTTTCATTTCTTGTGTACATGGATCTTGTTTTCTTTCTTCAAGTCATAACCAAAGTACGAATGTTGAATTTTCAAATCTTTATATAAGCTTGAACTTTTGGAAATAGCATAGATCTGAACATATATGTTGACTTGCACTGTCTTTATAGGCCTTAAAATTTTTTAAGCTTTAGAATTCACAGACAATTTTGACCTTCAAAATTTCTTCTAGACAACATAACACTTCTTGTACACTGTGTTGCCAAATTTAATTTTTATGATATTTTAATTAGAACTGAAAGATGGACATATGCATACCTTTTTGGGACCCAGGAACAATTGCACTTGACCTTGGCAAGCCATACGTTGCAATTTTTTAATCTCTGTTTATAATTTTGAACCCATATTAAACTCTGCTTCTGACAACGTAACATTTGGCTCTGAGGGGAAGTCATCTTCATGCTGGAAGGCTGCACTTGATAATCTACTACTGTATTGCACTTGTTTCTAGGTGCTGTAAGAATGTGAACCAAAGTAATCCCAGTATGTTCTCTGAAGAGATTATAATCCAAGCAGCATAAATGTGACTTTTTATGTTTAATCGCTTATTCCAGTGCATAGTGACACAAAATTAGGGTTTTATTTACCCAAGAGAAGCCTTTAGGAAGGATGCTTGTGACAGCTTTACTGATTTTTAACACTACTCTGAAGTTGTTGTATGGAAGTGGCCTAACTTCAGGAAAGGCAGATCTATAGTCCATACTCTCCAAATTTACTGTGCTGTTTGTGATAGGAGTAGTAAAAGCAAACACAAACTGTGCATATCCTTATGCAATTTCGTGTTAGTGCATGCACACACACAAAATAGAAAGCTACTGCCAAAGTAATTAATAGAAACTGGCTGATAAAGGACTAAAAAATTCAGGAACTTTTTAGTTGAGATATCTTCTTTGAGTTTTCTGGGTTTTCTTTTTTCTTTTTGGTAACTGTTAGCAAAAACGCAATTCTTCTCTTGCTGTTTGGTCCAAAAGTATTTTGCCAGCAGTTTGCATAGCAGATGTTTTTAAATATTAACTGGCTAGTATGTGATATATACATTGTATTCTTTACTGAAAATGTGAAAATGTTTGTGTCAGACTGAAGAACATTGAATTTCGCTAAAGTTTTTGTTATACCTGAAACTATCAATTGCAAAGGAAGAGGAGCAGCACAGACAGAGATACTAGGCTAACAGTGTGATGTCATACTGCCTTGTGAAAACCAACTAAAATAACAAAACAAGGGAAAGCGAAAAGAATGAGAGATAGTAGTCAATGAATGCTTTTCATTATAGCAAAATTTGAAAAAAAAGTGGTTTATAATTCCTTTTTAAAGTTTCATGTTTTAATTAGGGATAGATCTGTCTTGTCTTTTCAGAAACTTACCGCTGTAGGTTTTTGTTGCCTGGCAGCAGGTGTGTGTATTATGTTCTCAGTTGTACTTTGGGGCAGTGCTGATGTAGGGGGAAAAAAAAGATACAGCCACCTTTTCTTTTTGGATGAGTGAAGTGCTTGGAGTCCGTGATTTGAATAGAAAGTATAAAATCTAGTTTGCCCTCAGCTGCCCTATGAATGGAGAATTGTTGAAGAAAACCTCAAAATCCAGAAACATCTTGCTGTTTACATGTGACATAGCACTAAGTTTGCAGCCAGTAGTGTAATTTTGGGGGATCTTGGCAATTCTGAAGGTAGAATGCAAAATTATTTCTTGCTAATAGAGCGCAACAGTTGAAAACATTCATTACGCTTAAAACAATGGGCTTAAGCGAAATAGTTTTTTTTCCTTTAAATTTTCATAGATGATGTGCTAGTTGATATCTCAGGATGTGTGGTATGATGCAGGATTTCGTATGGTTGAGAAACAATAGGATACAATGGGCTAATAGCCTAAGTGCTGATGGCATGGATTCTTTCCTTGCCAGCCTTTCTTAAAGCCCTATTTTGTGGTCAGGACAAACTTTCACCAGAATTATAAGGCAAAAAAAAAAAAAAAAAAAATCTTTAACAAAGCAGAGCTAGAATGTTTTGTCAGAAGTCAAAATGTGCGTTACTTGTATTGGAGGGATGAACAGCTGATTTTGGCAGTTGCCATCAGATTGGTGCTTCCTGTTTACAGAACTCTCCGAGTCTCCACAGAGCCCTGGGAATCCTTCCAGCTAGGGAATGCCTGGCTTAAACAGTGAGTGCTGTTTAAACAGCAGGTGATGAGCAAACTGATGGCAGATGTGCTTCTGTCATCCTTTCTCAGAGCCAACTTACTATGGATAATGCACAATTGATGGTTGAATTGAAGGTGAGAGAAATTAAATTTAGATTTTTTTTGTAAATGGAATGGGCTCGATATCTTTAGTCGAAGAGCACTAAAGGCTTCGTACGCAGTCGAAGAATGGTGTTCTATAAACACAAATACCTTCCAAACAGAAGAACAGAGGATTTTGTTACTCATCGTTCCTTTCAAATGTGGCCAAGCTTGTGGAATGTAGACTTAGAGTAAATGTTTGTGTCATCTCACTGGCGGGAAATCTGGGCTTTCAACAACGACGATGATACGAATTGTACTTTAAAGCTTCTTATAAAGTATTAGAAAATAATGAGCCTAAAGACATAGATGGAATCTGGTATTTGTTCTTTCCTTAGCGGAAATATGTTTGTCTATTCTTGTATTTTTAAGTTGTGCTTCAGCTCACAAATGAGCAATGTCTGCAGAAAGGTAATAGCAGAAGGATAACGCTGACGCTTTCTCTTTTAAAAATTTTGTGTCAAACACCTGTCTTGGGAATTGCAGAATATAAATTTCCCAATTATGAGTTATGCTGGTTGCTGGAAAAAAGCCTCATACGTAAAAACAGTTACAAGACTGCCAGTGACTGTCGTTACACAGTGTTGCTTTACACTGAGGTGCTGCTTCACACCAAGCTTTGTAACATCCTTTGTGCTTTTGCAATGGAGGAAGGATGCTATGGAAGCATTATTATGTCTTCTTCAGAGGAAAAGATTTGAGAAGAGAATTTAATGATCCTGAAATTTCATATATTTCATCCACCACGATTAGAATTTCACAAGTTTTTATTTGATGGTAGACAGAATTGAATAGGCCTCTCCATTTTATGTACAGTAAAACCAGCTGAAAAACTAACAAATTAACACCACGTAGTAATGTTACACGAAGCTTTGTCTAGGTCCTGACTGTGCTGCTCCTTATCAAAAGTGTTGGGATTTTACTGGACAGTGATATCCTCAGTTATTTAATTTCTTAAAATCCGACCTATAATGTTTGAAAGTTGATGTGCTTTCCCTTGCAGCTTCTTAAAAAATTCTGAACAGATGTTTTAAATTACTTGCTTATCATAAAATATAAAGATCTCTGATTTCAGACAGCTTGCACTTAAACATTTAACAAATAATGGTGCATGAAATTAAGAGCAGGCTTCATTTAGTGCTTATCTATTCCTCTAGTGTTTATTTAAATTGTTAGCTTGAAGTTTAGCGGCATACACAGCAGAAGCAGAGTGGCAAAGAGCTTCACTTTAAATATGTTCCGTGCACAAGCTGACAAAGGCCAGTGGCATAGGTGATCTATAGATTATTGACCTGCAAAAATCTGAATTTCACTCACGTTACAGTATGAGAAGATTTAGAAGCATTTAGTCGCACTCCATTAAAACTGGGGATGCTAAAGCACTTAATTGGTTACACCATGCTACAGTTTAGTATTTAAAGCAAAGTTCTGAAGGCTTTGAAATCTAATGTAAACAGTGAAGCCGGTAATGGTTTCTCTACTACAGAAGAGTATGAATGTAAAACATCTGATGAACAGCTGGTTAGTCCTTCAGCTGGGTAAATGTAAATAAAACACTTCTTTTACAGTTTAGTATCGAATCTGTGCTAGAATGGATCTGTCCAGTAGCTACAAATGGGAAAAAAGTACAGGATCAGAAATGAACAACCGTTACCAATCACATGCTTTGGAGTGGGTGACCTTCATCATGGGAGTAGTTTAATTTACAAGAGATGTAGAAGAAAAAATATTCTTCACTTGTAGCTGTAGTTCCTCCAGAGCAAGGCTGAATGTTGAGGCCAATGTTTGCCTTAACAGTTGTGAAATCTATATGCTCCGTCCGTGGTCTGAGGCTGAACCTAGGTCTCGGTGTTCAGTTGTGATTGCTTTTGGAGAGCGTGGTGGAATCAGTGAATATGGAGCTGCTATGAAGACCTGTTTGCTTATCTTTAAGAGGCCATTACTGCAGATTATTAATGAACAAAATATATAAGTAAAAACTCGATAATGTTTCTATGTGTCAGTAGCGATAACAGAATAATTGAGCTTTGAAGGATGAAAATGTGTTTTGTAAAATATAATTGTGTGACTGGAGGAGGTGAGTATTAAACCAAAACTATTGGAAGATGTTGGTTTTTGGTTTTTGTTTTTGTTTTTTTCCTACTCCTTTTCTCTGGGTAGTCAGTGCTAACATTATTAGTTGATGCTGTAGTTGAAGTTTTGCCTTGGATTTTTTCCTGTCAAATTCTTCAGTGTTATGGCAGTGTAACTGGGAAGGAACAATGAGTTTCATGAGGCTTAAAATGATATTAAAAGCCCCAGGTTGTTGTAGTTTTGTCATTAGCAAACTATTAAATCAAAGGTTTGTCTAGCAATTCTATTTTATTGCAGTAAAAAAATTATTTTTGGCTAGTAGGCATATCTTGTTTTATTTTTATTGAATTTCAATTGTAGAGCAAGGTCTATCATTCTTAAGAGTACAGAGAGAGCAAAAATGATGTAGGAGTGTGGGAGCCAGATTATTTTATCCTTCTAATGAGAAACCATTATGACTTTAATATATGTGGCTATATTTCAGTTGCACCTTTTCTATTCCTATTGAAATACTAATTAAATATAATGTATATGAAAAAATGCCATTACCTATATTGTTATGTTTTACAGGATTCTGCACTATTACTTCTTTTTCTCGATGGCTTGGCTGTAACAAAATGATTTTTAGAACTAAATTAATGAGATATGTTCCTAACACTTGCGTTCACGGTGTTTTGAGAAAACTCAAATTAATTCCTGTGTACAGTGCATGGATTCTGTTTCGAAATAAAATGTAATACTACTTTGTAAAGTTATGTTTACAGATCTGATAGTGGATGCATAACATTCAGCTGTGTAGAATCTTGCTTAACATAACCCTACTCACTTTCACTATACTGCTGTGTTAAAATACACTCTTTAGCATAATTGTAATCCTCAGTAATAAGTCTGCATATCCAGAAATATCTTTGTTTAAAAAAAATATTCATATATTTGAATCCCTCTTTTAACTTTTTTTTTTAAATGGTGTCATTGGAAAATAAAATACATTTTCTGTTTTAGAATATGCTGTTCAGTGCATATTTAATTTGGCTTAGAGTCTGATTTTTAGGGGAGGAGAAACAGTCTCTGAATTCACTGTAGTGTAGAATACTGTAATGTTATTACTGTAGGCAACTGGTTTTTACTGTCACTGTTTAGAGGTTGATTCCCCACAAATTAGCCAGTGCAGTGAATTGGAGGCACATATTATATTGTTGCTGATTTTGCACTGAAATGGCTGAGCTGAAATTGCTGTTGAAAGCAATTGGAGTGGTTGAGTGTGTACTCACGCAATTTGCTTCTGTCTACACTGTGGATGGCAACCTCTAGCAGAAGTGGGGAAACAGCCCATGGAAGTAGTGTGAGTGAGAAGATAGTGATCCACTGGAAGGTTTTTCCAAGTGACTGTGTGTTTGTGTCTTCATTTGCTGTTTGTGTTTGGAGGTGAGAAGGGATGTGTTCTTGTTTCAGACTTTTTTTCTCCTCTCCAGAATAATGTTCAGTTCGCAGCTGATGATAAAATGGTGTTAAAAGTTTGCTCTGCATTGTTCTTTACCAAAAAAAAAAAAGGAAAATCTTCAGTAGCTCAGCTGAAAATACTAAATCTCAGTAATTTCTTGACTTGCAGCTGTATTTTGGCTCAATCTCTATTGCTATGAACCATGGCTGGCTGCAACAAGAAAGCCAACATGATCCTGTCATTTTCGTCGTTATTGTAGTATCTTGGTGCTACAAGTAAGGATAGCCTGTAGATTCTGGGTTTTGATGTAGTGCATCATTGGGCAAATAATGCTGTGTTTCCGTCGGTGGGAGAGAGAATGTGTCCCATCTTCTTTGCTTGGTTTGCGTAACACCAACTTCTAAGACATGTCCTGGTTTAATACTCCATCCAAATTACCCGCTACAAGTCACTCTAAGCCATTTTACTCAGCTCTGTATCACCCCAGTGCTACTGTTGTGGTCACTTCTTACAAAGTTAGGGCAATAAGGCCTGGTCTCGTTTGGCATAACCAACATTTATCCTTACTCCAAGGGCCCAACTTGTGTTATTCTTAAAGAAGTCAGCTTCTTGCTTATCTGGTGTGTTTTATGAGTGCTGAAGTTAAAACTATTCTTTATCATGCTTTTATCACGCTTTTGTCATGCACAGTGCTATGAAATTAATCCTCCTCTTGAGTTTTCTGGTTGAAATAACAGTAGACTGGCTATGTACTTTAAGAAGGGCTGAATTAATACAGTCAGTTTTCTGGCTTTTGAGTGTTTAGCATGGTCTTCAAAGCCTTTGGATCTTGTGGACTGCTAATAAAGCTTCCGTGGTGTATAATCTTTGAAGGAAGTAATTTGGATCAGAACACAATTGTGTACATATTTAAGGCAATACGATGGACAGCATTTTTAAAGTACATAAATGCTATTTGTGCTGGCAGGAATGCAATTCTCATTAGCAGAGTTCTGCATCCCTTTGGATGAAATTGTAAGCTTAAGAGTTTGTCTTATGTGCTTGAAGCTTAAGATTGAAATTACTTTTTTAAACCTCTTTTTAGAAAAAGTATCACAAAACACATACTTTGAGTGATTCTTTTTCTCATTCTGTACTTCACTGAAGAAGACGGATGTTTTGTTCTTGCAAAGAAGTCCCTGTAAAAATGAAAGAATTCTGCTGAAAATGTAACATTACATATTTTGCTGCAGACTCTTTACATGGAAAAAACTATATACTGCCAAGTCTTCTCTTAAAGTTTAAAAAGAGAGAGCCTAGCATATGCAAGTTATTCAGATTATCAAAAACTTGATCAGTGATGATGGTACATAGTTGACAAAAATACTGGGGAAATGAAGAAATATGTGATTGGTTTATTTACAGACTTTTCTTTCATCTACTTTCCTGAGTGTGGGAGAAAGAAAAACACTTAAAAAAAAAAAAAAAGTGATTAATCCAATGTAAACATTTTGAGAACAAGACTTTAGTGGCATCAAGTCTATAATCAGTAGTTGCCGTCTGTGTTTGTGTGCATTCATACAGACTCAGTGTTTTAGTATGGCCTTAAATATACTATCTGCTTTAAATACTGTTTGCTGGCTATGTTCTGCTGAAGAACATCGTATTTAACCATTCTGATTATAGAGATTATTAGTATTTTTCACTAAGACCTTGAAAGAATCTTTCACAGGCCTTGAAAAAGGAGGAGAAACACTGCTTATTAAAAACCAAAACAAAACCCAAAACTTTTTCTGTCTGTTTGCAATGATATTTCACCACAGCATGGCTTGTAGCCTGAATAATTGATACAATTGAGTATAAGATCAGGTCTGCAGATCAAATTCAAGTTAAGACATTGTCTTTGAAGTACCTGAGTTTCTGAAGTAAAGATTAAAGGATATATGTCCCCTGTGGAGAAAACCACGTTATTTTCTTCATTTACTTACAGAAATCATACCACATACTTAGCCAGGATGTGTTTAATGCAGTGAAAGTATAAGAGCTATACTTAACATCTTGCAAAGCATAAAGTAAAAGATTTTGATTTGGGTGGTAAAACTCTTTTCAGCTTCCCAAACCTTACATTTCTATTTTAACCAAACATATTTTCTTGTTTTGTTATCTGTTGTGGTATGATTGGCTGGATTCTTGGTTCACAGGGAATTGGTCACAGTCAATGAGTAATACAGTAGGTGTAATTGGCACCTAGTAATAGTTCTTGTACAAAACAAGTGGTGCTTTGAAGATACTATCTGTTTTTATTAGATCAAATAAGATATTACTGTTGGTTAAGCATACCACATTTATTATTTTCCTGCAACATGGGTTTCTGTTGTAATGACCACCTTGTATCGCTTTTGAATGTGGCTGCTCTTATTTCAAGAGAAAACGTGGTAAAGCTTTTAGTTTTCCTTACAGTAAAGCTTAAAGTTGGTTCTTACTGGGTTGGTTGTTTTGTTGTTGTTTGCATTAAAGGAGTGATTTTAATCATACGAGTAGCTGTGGGCAAATTGGAGGAGGCTGATGAACAGACCTGCTCTAAAGTTCTTGTGGCCAGCAAATTCTTGTACAGTGTCTGTACACTAGACATAGTATACTGGTTTATTGAAAAGAAAATAACTGAGAAGGAATCTATGAAGTGCCTTTTGCAGTTGTACGTTCAACTTTGAATCACAGTGTATTGCAAATGTCTAGTAGGGTCTATTTGGGCTTAAGTGCAAGAATTTGGTTAATTTTGTGGCTCAAGGCATTTTAAATTCTATGTAAATCATACCATTGTTTCCACTTTTAAAACTATAGGAATCTCATTTCAAATGACAAACCAGAAAAAGAATACTTAGACTTGATTCAGCGAACTTTAAAACTTTTCCAGCTTCTGATAGAAGATGTTTTATGTCATGTGTCCTAAATTAACAACAGAAAAGCCACTTTAAAAAGTAGGATGTGTTTTGGCTTTTCTGCTAATATTCATAAAACAGCAAGGAAGACAATCTATAGCAGTTTGATGATGTCTCTGTACAAAGTGATTTAAATTGGGAAAAATGAATAAACTGTAAAAGTGACCCAAAATTGCTTGATTTTTTTCATATGTGGCCATCTTTATATTAATTATAGTACAGAAAGAACTAAATATTGAGACAGGATTTTTTTTTTTTCAACTTGACGCTCCATTTTTTCATTATTATATCTTCCTTGATCCAAGAACAAATGGTTTTGCACTCACAAATGTAATTCCCAATTATTATTTTTTTATTCCATGTAGCTCTTTTTCCTTTTTTGATTACTGGTAGATTAGTAGATTACTATTTAGATAGTTACTCATTAGAAACACTAGAAAAAAAGTAAACCTGATGCTTTTGTAAAAGCATTGGTTGACCTGACAGTCTTTTCAACATTCAGTGACAAGGTTAAAGGGGGAAGGCAGAAAAGTCAAATAAAAAAAATACCAAAGAAACTATTCCTTTTGCAAATAATTTTCCCCAATGATTTTGCCCAGGTTCACCTTTTCTAGCCAATGAAGATGGTGTTCTCGGAGGTGTGATAGTTCTTCGGTCTTGCAGGTGTTCAGCAGAGCCTGAATCACCACAGGAAAAGCCAACTTTACTAGGTAAGAAATTCTTATTCATTTTTACTTGAGCTACGTGCTAAGCCAAAGTGAAAGATAAAATAAAAACTGTCTGTGCATGTTTACCATTGTTCAAAGGTCACAGAGAAAACAAAAAGGAATTGAAATTGTTTGAGACGATAAAACTCTAGAAAGTGAAATAGTAGTATTACCTCTGTTCTCTAAAACTGCAGAAAAGAGCATTCTTTCTGACTCATTATTTCTGGGCAGAATTGTGGTTCAGAGGGGTGTGCAGGATCCTTCTAAAACCGTGGCATAGGAGTAAGGGTTGCTTGTGGTGAGACAGGGTATGCTTCCCGTAGAAGGAATTGATCTTTTAGCTCGAGTTGATGCGTATGCCTGTGGACTGCTTCTCAGTGGTTCGTGTGCTAAAAATGCTATCTAAAAAGTTCTTTGTTCCTCCTTTTTGCAGGATAAAAGGTGAAAATTTGGAGGATAGACTTTAAAATTTGAAAGAGAAGTTGGTTTATGGTTGGAAATTTTTTGTTATGCCTGGGAAAATCTATTCAGATCAATCGCAGTTACTATTTGCGTATTCAGACAACACGAGCACTTGCTGTTTATCTTGAGATCAGCAGAAAACTGTACTTCGCTGCCACCAGTAGCTGACTGGTTAAAAAGGCTCTGAGCTTTACGGCCCTTCAACCTGGTTTATGTCCTAGAAACAAGATCCTCATCTGTCTTGCTGCTTCGCAGCAGAACAAGTGTGTTATGGTAAACGGTCACACGGTTAGTTGTAGAGAAGCAGCTAGGAAACAGCTCTGTAGGCTGCTAGCAGAGGTGGGTGGAAATACAACCCAGAGACAGGAAAGCCCGTGTTCTTCTTTGGAGGCAGGGATTTGGGACTGGGGGCATGTGAATTACTTCAGCATGACGCTTGTACCATCTCCTTTCTTGTGGTGCTTCTTAGATGTGGGCATGTGCCTCTGGTCATGCTCTGTGCTTGGGTCACGTGGACCTGTCTAATACATATTTATATTATGCTACCAGAATGAAAGGTTATTTTCCTTTGCAGAATCCTCTGTTGTATTATTGTTTCCCCAAGTGTTTCATGATTAGCTGTCGGCATTACAGATTTGAATTAGCTTTTGTATCTTTTAAGATCTGACATGACAAATTCGATCACCTAATTTAACTTTGCGAATTAAGGCAAATCATAGCGTCTCGCCTGGTAATTCTTGAATTGCATAATTTCCTTTGAATCTATAGGCTATTGTTTAGAAAGACACCTCACCTTTATTTTAAGTCATTACTGCTTTTGTCCCACTAAATCCTAACGTGTCACCGGAGTGTGCCTGCTTACAGCCAACCTTGAGTAGCAGGCAGAGTGTGTGCTAAAGGTGAGCTGGCAGATATATTCTTAATGATGGGTCAACCCACACAAACTCTAGTATTTATTGCTGTCTGTTCAGTGACTGCCAAAGATGTTAGGGTCAAGTTATTACAGTTGCACAGGATAAGGTTGTATTTTGTCTGTCAGTTTTGTTCTCATATTACACCTTGCTGGTTTGCATTACAAGAATCTTTAAATATCATGTACTACTTTGTGTTGGTCAGCTTGAGTTTGATCATACTCCACCTTCAGTCATTCATTCTGATAAGTAATTTTACTCAGTACAGTTCATAGCATTCATGTTTCTCTACTCAGTAGTTGAGGCTTGTGTGTTTTATGCTTTTGGTCAACATCTCATCTTATCCTTAAGAGTTTCATGTATGTTTATTTTGCTATTACAAAGAACCAGAGGTTTGGGAGGTGAATCCTTACAATTCCGATGATGATTTTGGGATTATCTTGGACAACAAAGGAATTTAGGAAGACTTGGATGGGGAAAGATTTTAGAAATAGTTTTTGTATGTTATAGTTTTTTAGAGTTATTACCTGAACAGCTTGTCTTTTTGAAGAAGTAGACTATCAAATAGACTTTGACTTGGCTAGATCTTACTCTTGGCTTTCAACTATCTGAAAGCCAAAACTGTGTAATCCTGACTCCAGAACCAGAGCATGGGTTGCTAAACATACAGAGAATGTTGCAAGTTTGATTTACAGTTTTCAGATTTAAACATGGTTAATTGTGACATTATTGGTCTAGAGAAAAGCATACAACAACATAAATTCTGTTGCTAAAAAAGAGTTAAGAAAATAAAAATACAAGTTCGATTAAATAACAAAGATCATCAGCATACCTTCCATTTCTTATGTTTAGAAGTGAGAGAAATATTTTTATTCATTTAATGTTTGTCATTCGTCTAAGAAAAGATGTTCCTATTAAAGAACATTTGGTATCTTTTCCTCAAAAATTAATAAAGAAAATCCCCATATATCATACATCATAAGTAAAGACTCATTGGTCCATTGATTTTTTTTTTTTTTTAGTTTTCTTTCCACTGAAATAAGATTCATGTAGCACAGCTTTTTCTAAAGATAATTTTTTCTCTACCACAGAAATTTCCTGCCTTACACTATATGCTGAGTTAATGTATAATTAAACATATGTAATATTTGTGCTCTTTTGATTGAAAATAAGTTGTGTAATACTGAAGAACTCAGTGTATAGAATAATGAAATCTTACGTCTTTGTTCCGGGACGATCTCTTTTTATTAATCTTTTTAAACTATTGAAACAAATTGCAAGAAAGTGATTTATTAAATGGTTGAAAAGATGTGAAATGTCTTCAGATAAGTATGTAATTTAGGATTTTCATTCTAATTCCACTACTTATAATAACTAGCAATAACCATATTTCATGCTGGTACATGCTACCTTTGGTGGACAATGTAGAAGGAAAAAACTACTGAAAAGTTAAAAGAATATGCCTTAAGTTATTAAAGGCAAAGAAATAATGTTTTTAGGGTATTTGGCCTGAACTGTTGCCCAGCTTCACAAAATTGAAAGTTGAGATTAAATTTGTCTCCAAAAAACAAATGCTTTCACTGACAGTTGAACCTTTAGGGTGTTAGGGAGGGGTTGGCCTCGTCGAACACAGTTACATTGCACTAAATGTGTTTCACTCTCTGAAAGCTTTTGGCTTTTTAGCCTTTGCCAGTAGTAGTCGTGAATCTATAACAGGGGAGCAAAGCACATACCTAAATGAAGTTCATTTTTCTTTTATGATGATATCTACGTATCTGTCAGAATCTTCGAGTCTTGCTGGGATTGTCTAAACTTTGATCTTCTACTCTGAGTTAATTGCTATGCAAGGATAAATGGTTCAAAGGAGAAGCATACTCAGCATGCTGTGACCTTCGTCAACCATATTAAAGGAATGTGAGGAGTAGGAATTAATAGATGTTTTATAACCATCTAATGATGCTTTTTGCAGCATATGAAAGGATCTTGCTAATGAAGTACTTGAAAATAGCTTTTCATGGCATCGTGTGTAATTTGTGCAATTTTTTGAAAACTCTACAGTTTTCTATGAAACACCCTGAATTCTGATCAGCAACTCTTTCTTTTCCCCCCTTCCAAATGACATGATTAAGGAACACAAGGAAAAATGGCTGTGACATGGAACAGGAAGAATATAGTGTGATGTTTTGTAAAGCCTCACTGGGTGGGAGCTAAAGATATGAATAATGTGCTCTTTTTCTGAATTTTCTCTTGCAGCTGAGTAGGGGAGTGTGTGTATATATATACAAAAATACCTGTATATTTATCAAAGAGTTAAAGATCACTCTAATGGGCTGTTTAAACAATTGAAAATCCGGCCACTTTCAGACTTCAGAATGACAACGTACTGGATTAACATGCATTAACAGTACATGTCAGCAGTGGTTAGTTTTCTTAGTCGTTATCACTACAAACACAGCAGTTAATCTTCAACATTTATATCCTAAATGAGCTGTGAGTATACAGTACAGAGAGCTGATGCTGTGTAACTACTGCTAGAAGTCAAGGTGATCAGACCTGAGAGTGCTTTGATCATAGAATAGGATCACAGAATTCTTTAGGTTGAAAAAGACCTTGAAGATCATCGAGTCCAGCCGTTAACCTAACACTGCCAAGTCCACCACTAAACCATGTCCCTAAGCACCACACCTACACGTCTTTCAAATACCCCTACGGATGATGACTCAACCACTTCCCTGGGCAGTCTGTTCTAATGCTTGACAACCCTTTCAGCGAAGGAGTATTTCCTACTATCCAATCTACATCTTCCCCAGCATGACTTGAAGCCGTTTCTTCTCATCCTATGACTTCCTACTTGGGAGAAGAGACTGACACTCACCTCACTACAGCCTCCTTTCAGGTAGTTGTAGACAGCAATAAGGTCTCCCCTGAGCCTCCTTATCTCCAGGCTAAACAACCCCAGTTCCCTCAGCAGCTCCTCATAAGACTTCTCCTCTAAACCCTTCACCGGCTTTGTTGCTCTTCTTTGAACACATTCCAACGTCTCAATGTCTGTCTTGTAGAGAGAGGCCCAAAACTAAACACAGTATTCAAGGTGCAGCCTCACCAGTGCTGAGTACAGGGGGACGATTCCTTGCGTAGTCCTGGTGGCCACACTATCTCTGATACAAGCCATTCAGCACACTTTTGGGACCAGGTCTTGCTCTAATTTTGCCAGGCATCTTTTCACTTCCATTGGACAGCTCTCACACTTCTTCTGCAGGATTGTTGTGTTTTTGCCAGATGTCTTTCCTGCCTGCTCTATATCTTCAGTTCTCATCTTACACACTTTGCTAGTTCTGCATGTTTTCCTGTATCCTTGTGCAGCTAAACCACAAATCTCGATTTCCCCACTCGTAGTTACATATTATGTATATGTTTATGCTCGGTTCTGTGAAAAAATCCTTGTTACTGGTTATTCTGTTGATAGTGTTACAACTCTCCAGAATCCTTGTATGCCGTCCAGACTTACGCTGTTGTAGTGTGTTTATGACTGGATTCAAGGCAAGCAAGTGCAAATTATATCTGCTTCTACCTTATGAATGGAACAGGCCTCTGCTTTGAAAGAGAATTCTATCTTTCAACTGTAGTTGCAGTTGATATATTTCTCATCTTGGAGGGTCCATATTGTTGAAGTAATGTTCTCATTGTGGGTATGAGTTCTGCAGTGTATGACTGCAAATAGTGCTGGAAAAGACTTGTTTGTTTGATAGCTGTTTCTTTTGAGATTGGCTTATTCTGGTAAGTATATTTTGTGCTTCAAGTTTGCTTTTTGTCCTTTTTCGAACTATATTTTAAGCTTACTTTGTTTCTCAAGACTCCAGTCTTGTTAAGTTACATCTTCTATTTTAAAGCAACGCATTTTTTGTGACTTCTTGCATTTTCCTTTCTAGTGGAATTTCTGTGGAGCCATACAACAGAGAGCATGTGTGTAGGATATATGTCTGCACAGGATGGCAAAGCTAAGGTAAGCCATGAAGAATAGGCTGTAATACAGTAGAGTGAGTGCAGAAGTTAGGGAGAACATGAAATTGTGATAATGAAATATATAATAAATTTCTGTCTTTAAAGAATGGGAAAAGTAATGGTTGCATAAGCAGGTAAATCTATCTATTCCTATTCTAATTCCTTTTTTTAAATTGCAGCAGTTAACAAACCTATGCTAACATACATATTATGTCAGGAAAAGGTGCCACAAACACATTTCCATTTCCTCTGCTGACAGTAATTGTATTTGAGTAACTTTAGCTTGATTCAGTTATACTGGCTGTTGAGGGTGGTACGGTATTTTTCTATGGACTTGTCTTCCTTTAGATTTATCTAAATCTTGGCATTTATACCAAGGAAGAAGAGTGAGCATATAGAACAAACTTCAATGTAGTTTCTAGAATAGCCTCTGTGATAAACAATTTGGATATTAACATCCATGATTCTTTTAGTTTCGTGGGGTATAATTATTTTTTTTTCTGGAATGAGAGAAATAATACATTAAAACTGAGCTTAACAGTGGAAACTGGAAAAATCCGTAACATGAAAGAGTAGGGATTAACTGAGAGGATGAGAACCACCTACTCTTAGGAATACAGCTGTGAAAGGAGAAAAAGGCAGGTTTTTTGCTGTAGCAACTAAAGCATTTAGGAGAGATGTTTGGACAATGAGACTGAACATGGGAGAAGCTGCATGTAGAGACAAAAATCATAATTTCTTTAGACTTCTATAAATGTACAGCCATCAGTATTCAAGACCAAGAGTGAACCATCAGAACTGGTTAAAGGAAGTGGCAAAAGTGGGGGAAAGAGCTAGAATATTGGAAGACGGCTCTCCGTTATGGTTAAACTAACGGGAGAGGCGGGGCTGTTTACTGGAATATTTGCATGTATTAGGGAAGGAGATAACAGCCAGGAAGTTTATACCGTCAGATAAGAGCAAGAAAGGCATCCAGCATTTTGATGGTAGAATTTAAGGAAATTTGAGTTTTAAAGCCTGGAAAAGGAAAGAATTTGAGGGCCTGGATTTGTTGGCTCTCTCCAAAAGTGTCTGCTTGTGGATCTGCTGAGGAAGAAAGTTTAGTCATCAGCAATGGAGAGGAAGGGGAGTACAAAACCTGAATCTTTCTCTCTTATTTTTTTTTTTCTCCCCACCCCTCCATTTCATTTGAGAGATAAATACAAAGGAGGATGTGAATGGATAATAAAAGAATGTACAAAAGAAAGAAATTGACATCAGATATTTTAAACAGCAAGAACGGTGTAACATGCTGGTTGAAGCATTGAGAATGAATGAGTTCATCCTCAAGGAGTAAAATGTATAGAAAAAATGAGAAGAATGCCCCAGAAGGAGGAGGAAGATAAAAAGCATCTGGTGAAGGAAGTGCTGGTAGAGGTGCTATTAAAGTACTCACTTTCATGGCTTATGTAGAGTACCTTCCAGTTGATAATCCATGGGATAGGGGGTGGTTTTACTTGTTTTCTTAACATTTATTTTAGATTTATTAGAAAAGAATCCAAACTCAAGGTAAAGGCTCAGACTGAACTGAGCAAAGTTAAAGCAAGCTCAGCTGCAGATGCTCTAGTGGTCACTAGTTAAAGTCATTATATTGTGTTCACAGTGAAATATGGAGAATTAGAATGTGCAATGCTAAATTATTAGAGTGTGCACACCTGCCTCTGGCTTACACTGCAAGCTCAAAAGCGTTTCTAAGGAATATTATTGTTTCTTCCTGGTAGTGTCTGTCTAATTAATAAACAAATGTGAAATAGGAAATCTGTCTGGTAATGAGTACTAGCATGACAGTGCCATGCCCAGAGATGTTTTCCTACGCGCAGTTGCAACGTTTGACATCTGGTGTGCATTGTTTTCATACTGCTGGTAAATTCTCCAGCTGGTAATCTTGATTGTGCTGACAGACACAGCTGCTCTTCTTGGTTCACTTTTAAATTATGTTTTTGACCTTCATTGAAGAGTTAATCCCCCTCCCTTTCTTCCTCCTTTGAGTCTGTGGCCACAAATGCTTTCCAGAGAAAAACCGCAAATGCTTTTGCTGTTGACTTCTATTGATCAAAAAAAGTCATCTGTCATAAAAGCTGGAATTTTATTCTGCTACAACTAGAGCTAAGTTATAGATGGAAAACTGTGCTTGAAATAGAGCACAATGCATTGCAAGTAAAAAAAAAAAAATAAAATCCCTTTTCTTTAATAGAGTAACTGTTTTGGTACAGTTAATTTTGAGTGCTTGCCATGAAAGAATAATGGTATAAGAATTCATAAAAGTATAAAATATCGCTTGTTTATGAGTACTGTAGGAAAATGATCATGTAGGGAAACGTCTTGCTTTCCTGTTTTTCTAGGGTGGTAAAGAGCTTCAGTTTTTATTTCTTTCATCAGTCTAGGACTCAAGTTTTATTCTTAAACCAAGGGGGTTGTCACAGTGGCTGATTTTGTGCTGGTTCAATTTAATGAACATGAAAACATTTTTGTAGCAAGACTTTTAGAAAGTGAGAAGGTTTGTAAGTGTCTGCTGTTATGAATTAGACTAATATTAGAATCATAATTATATAAAGGGGTACAACCTAAGGAAAAAAGAGATCTTGCTTTATAATCTTCGTGTGATTCTTTGTGCGCTGGAGGTTAGTGCATTTCATAATAGGACCTAGCAAATGGTGGTTCTGAACTCCAGACGAAGATTGTGGAGATATAGGAGGCCTTTCTTACAAGGCAAACACTTAGACGCTTATAAGCTAGATAGCAGCTCACCTGCAGACACTGGTATGCTTGAGAGGTGGAAATGTTCTCAACCATTTAACTGTCAGCAATTCCTTAGAACAGTGAGACGGGAAAAGGGAATCGAAGACTTGAAGTGGTTTGTACATCCTGACCTGCTGGTGCTTCTGACTTTTAGCACTGTGAGCTCTCCAAGTACTGATTTGGAAGTGTCCTTGCAACCACGGTTTATTTCCTCACCATTTAGAAGAGACTGGGTTCTGCAGCCGGCCACTCACCTCCAAACTAGCCTATATGAACGCTGACTTGCCAGCCTGAATGTATACAAGGACTGAGCCTGCAAAGACTGTGGAACAATTTTTCACTGTGACTAATAGTCATTTGATTTAAAGCATACTTTCTGAAAGGTGTCCAGTCTTTTTTTAGAAATCCAGTTGCCTGGAAAAGTCACTGTTTCCTGTTGAACGTCGGTTTAAAATGTTTGGTTGCACATTACTTTAAAAATCCTGTGGAGGCTTGCCAGAAGTTCACATCTTATTGCTGACAATCGTCTCTGGTTGTGTGTCCTATTACTTGCCTTTAGCTCTCTCTCAACACTGGAAGCATTTCAGCTTCTCCGGCACTGATAGCCCTGGCAATGCCATCTTCACTACCTGCACAGTGGATATCTCATTGACTTCCCTCTCATTCTTATGCCTTTGAGCCCTTACATCGCTGCCACAAGCAGCTGACCAAAGCATATCCTTGCTGGTTCAACTGTACTCTTACTGGTTTCTTGTCATCCCTCTTGACACGATCAGTTTCATAATCACTCAGTGCCAGTGTTTGTCACATATTGGAAACAAAAACTTTTCATCTGAACAGCTTTGACTCTCTTATATACTTCTTGGAACTAACCTGTACCACCTGTTGCTACAACTTACCCAGGCTGGTGCCTGGCAGCCTCAGCTGTGATGAGCTAAAGGGACAGATCTATTCTGTTTTGGAAGTTGCCAGTCCCAGGCTTCCTGAAGCAATACGATGACAGATTGTTTCAACATTTAAGCCTGTTCTTTAGGAAAATGAACTTCCTAAGATCTCCTGAAGCAAGTTCCTGAATTGCCATCTCTGTGGTGGTAAAATTGTCACATAAGCTGACACTCAACTATTTCTGGCTGTTAGTGAAGCTGTTAGAATATTCTAGGCTGCTGTGGAAGTTTCTGGCTGTGGCCATTTGAATAGATTGAAAATACTAGTTTGTGTTTTCCTCTGCACTTACCCATCTCCTGTTTGAGCAGTAGCTGCTGCGTCAGCAACACTTAAAGACTTTAGATTGAAGGACTGGGAGGTTAAATATCTTCATGAACTGAGGAGGTATGTTTATTCCTCTTTGTCATTGTGATGTAGACTCAAAAATTACTTGATATGAATTCAAGGTCTCTGATAAGCAATTAACTCTTTTAGATTTCCTGCCCAAACTTGCTTGTCTTTATGAGACTAGTCTTCAGAATAACTTTCCGAATGTGTTTTTTTTTATGGATCCATAATAGATCTGACAGCTGATCACAGCATCAGCTATAAAGGGCATCCTGTTAGCGGAGCTGTGATCTTTATAAAGATATGCCACGAAGATGATAAGAGGGCTGGAGCACCTTTCCTATGAGGACAGGCTGAAAGAGTTGGGGCTGTTCAGCCTGGAGAAGAGGAGGCTCCGAGGTGACCTTATAGCGGTCTTCCAGTACCTCAAGGGGGCCTACATGAAAGATGGGGAGAGGCTGTTCAGGAGGGCCAGTTGTGATAGGACAAGGGGTAATGGTTTTAAAATAGAGGGAGATAGATTCAGGTTGGATATTAGGAAAAAATTTTTTACCATGAGAGTTGTAGAACACTGGAACAGGTTGCCCAGAGAGGTGGTGGATGCTCCATCCCTGGAGACGTTCAAGGCCTGGTTGGATGAGGCCCTGAGCAACCTGATCTAGTTGGAGATATCCCTGTTCCTTGCAGGGGGGTTGGACTAGATGACCTTTGAAGGTCCCTTCCAGCCCTAACGATTCTATGATTCTATGATTCTATACTCTGGCAGCTTTCAATTAATCAGTTCCAATTTTCCTGAACTGATTAGGTTACATTCTTAGAGCTTAAGCAATTGCACTGTCACCATTAGGAAAATAGCTGTATTCTGATGACTACAGTGTTACTTCTTGGAGTTCCGTCTGTACTGTCACAAGTGCAGTATTTGAAGTCTTAACGGTTGGTGTAGCATTGCAT